AATGTGTACTAAGCGAGTACTGGATCCCCAGGGCCTACCTTGCCCACTGCCTGTGGGAAGCCCACAGTTTACACAAAGTGCATTCAAGTAAGCAGGTCTCCCTGCCCCCTGGCCTCCCAGAACCTTGGTGCCTGGAGGGCAGGTGGGGGAGGGCGTTCCTGAACCGAGGCCGGTTTCCCTCTGCGGGGAGGAAACCCCATTTCCCTCCTAACCCTAGGCGCTTGCTACATCTAGCCTGGCATCAGACAGGAAAGAACCCTTTGTTCCCAGCTTGTAGGAAGTCTGAGCTGGACTCCTTATCTACCCACAGCGCTTCCTGGACCGGGGGCCTGGACCGGGCTCCTAAGGGGCTGGCTCCCGGTCTTGGTCTTGGCCTCGGCGCCCTCCTTTCTCCGCGCTTTGGGCAGGGGAAGCTGCGGACGGCAAGGTCTCGGCTTTCGTGAGAGCCTGGTGGAACCGGTGTTCCCCGCAGGCTACTCTGCGGGGGCGGGGGTTAGTCCCGGCCTTCCCGGCAGTGTCGTCTCCCCGGTGGGGGCTGGGGACGTGCCCCCAGAGCTCCTGGAGCAGCGGCGTGGCCAAGGCCTGAACCCGGTCTGACATCTAGTGGCCTCCTGGGCCCGGGCGGGGCGACAGCAGGGCAGGGAAGAAGGTGGAGGGCAGAAGGGGAGGCGTGGAGCGAGAAAATCAGGAAGCTTGGGGCCAAGCCGGGGAAGGGCGGCGGGTCTCGCCCCTGGCACCTGCCCTTCTCAGGGCCCGTCCCACCCCCAGGCCTGGCTGACCCCAGGTCCTTACATGCGCAGTCGGGGCTTGCCCGGGCCAACCCCGCGGCCCTCCATCCCCGCGGGCCGCAGACCCCACTCGCCCACGATCGTGGGGACCCCGGACGGGGGTCGCGAGGCCGGGCTCACGGTGACAGCGGTTCGCCTACGTGCGGGGCCGGAGCTGGCAGGGCCCAGTCCTGAGCGTGGCTGCAACCGCTGGGTCCTGGCACGTGGGGGGCAGCCCCGGGGGCCGCGTGCACCACTTCCGGCCTGGGAGACTCCGCCCCGCTCGCCGCCCGGTTGCCATGGCGACGCCGTCACGCCACGGCCCGCGGAACCGGCCGAGCGACCCGGGCGCGGCGCGGGGAGGCTCGCGGGACGCTCGGGTAGGCGAGGTAGGTGGCTGGGCCGGGGATGGGAGCGGAGCGCGCAGGGGCGCGGGGCGGGGGTGGCCCAGGTGAGCCCCGTCTGCGCAGGGAGGGACCACGCCGGGCTCCCGAGTCGCAGCCGGCCTCGCTCGCACCTGCCCCCTGCGGCCGCACACCGTACTGTGGCGCCGACCCGCACCCTGGGTCCGAGGGCTGCAGGGCTCGCCTGCCCTCTCGGAGCCGCAGCCGCTCCCGGTCCAGGAGGCCCCCGCCCTGGCCTGCCCGGGTGCCGGGTCTCTGCTGAAGTTAGAACCGAGACCCCCGCTTTCCAGTGACCCCGAGTTTGGATCTTTGCTCCTGCGCCGCGTTCTAGAGCAAGGTAGGGTGCAAGTGGACCAACCAGCCTTTGCCACGGCTGCCCTCTTGAAACCTGAAACCGGAGCCACTGTCTCTTGCCCGGAGTAGGGCCGGGGCTGCAACGTGGAGCCGCAGGTCCCCCCCTGTGTCTCCCGACGCCCCCAGCTTCTGAGCGCGAGGGTGGGAGTTTCCCGAGTGGGAAAGCCCCACTCCTTCAGTGGCCTTGGTGGGTCTGGCTGGTGCCAACTGCGCTGAGGGCGGAGCTGCCGCCACCTTGACACCTGGGAGATGGCGGGGCCACCCTCCCTCCCTCCCTGCCCCGTCCCCGACTGTATCACGAAGTGAGGATCATCCGTGTGGATCTAGGGCCCCCTTCCCAGACTTCTCCTTTCTGGTGGCTCCTCTCCTCTCATTCATTCCACTTTGGCAGCCTTTGTGGATTTTCTGACTCCGTAAATTAAGTTACATCTAGGGCACCTAGATTCTACCCCTTTGTTTTAATAGCTAATGAAACAACAACAACAAAAAAAAAAAAGAAAAAAAAAAAGAAACTTTGCCACCTCTTCTAGTTGCCTGGATTTCTCCTGTGAAATTTGGTGATGGCAGGAAAATACGAGGCGGCGGCAGCCCCACCCCTTGCACCAGGAGCCCCCTAGAGCTGCAGGTGGAACCACCCTGCTTGTACCACTCCTTTTCTCTCCCCTTCCCTCCCCTTCCCTCCCCTTCCCTCCCCTTCCCTCCCCTTCCCTCCCCTCCCCTCCCCTCCCCTCCCCCTCCCCTCCTCCCCTCCCCTCCTCCCCTCCTCCCCTCCCACCATCGTTGGCCAGGTTGGTCTCCCCTCCCCTCCCCTCCCCTCCACCATGTTGGCCAGGTTGGTCTCAAACTCCTAACCTCAAGTGATCTGTCCGCCTTGGCCTCCCAAAGTGCTAGGATTACAGACGTGAGCCACCGCGTCCAGCCTTGTCCTACCACTTTTCTGCCCTCACCACCTTCCCTTGGCAGGCAGAGCTTGGGCTCCTGCTAATACCGGGTGGTTCAGTGACATTAGAGGGCATTGGTGGAAGGGAATGAGAAATGAACCCCCTCTAAAAGCATAACTTCACTGGAAAAAGCACTCTACTGTCTGAGCAATTCATAAATGAATTTTGGGAATATAAAATGTCACAGATTAAAAGCAGACCATCCTGTGTTCTTCCCAGCTCCAGGAGCTTCTGCTTGGTGTGGAGGGGGTAATGGTGGGCAGAAAGGGAGTGTGGATTTATTAGAGATGGCTGCCATCTGGCTCTCTGTGGCCCCAAACCTCGTGTCAGCAGTACCACTCTTCCTAAGGTGCTCTTAGGATCAGATTTCGTTTTTGTAAGATTGCTCTTTGATGGAATGCCCTCTGTGTGGCAGGCACTGTGCTGGGCACTGGCACACGTTTATCCACTTACTCTTTCTGTGTTCAATAAGGTAGATCCAGATATCCTTCCACTTTATAGATTAGGAAGCAGGCTGGGAGAAGAGACTTGGTTTGTCCAGGAGCTGATGGTTATAAATAGCCTGTTTTGAAATCACATCTCTCTAACCTGGGCTGCACTGGGCCTTTCATGGGCCTCTTGTTCCATAAAAAAAAATAACAACAATTGGCCAGGTGCGGTGGCTCACGCCTGTAATCCCAGGACTTTGGGAGGCTGAGGTGGGCGGATAACGAGGTCAGGAGTTCCAGACTAGCCTGGCCAACATGGTGAAAGTGGGTCTCTACTAAAGATACAAAAAATTGGCTGGGCATGGTGGCGCACGCCTGTAATCTCAGACTCAGGGAGTCTGAGGCAGGAGAATCGCTTGAACACGGGAGGCGGAGGTTGCAGTGACCTGAGATCTTGCCATTGTACTCCAGCCTGGGTAATAGGGTGCGACTCCGTCTCAAAAAAAAAAAAAAATTGGCCAAGTGCCGTGGCTCACGCCTGTAATCCCAGCACTTTGGGAGGCTGAGGTGGGTGGATCATGAGGCCAGGAGATCAAGACCATCCTAGCTAACATGGTGAAACCCCTCTACTTAAAAAAAAAAAAAAAAAAAAAAAAAAAAAAAAAAAAAATTAGTCGGGCATGGTAGTGGGCGCCTGTAGTCCCAGCTACTCGGGAGGCTGAGGCAGGAGAATGGCATGAACCTGGGAGGCGGAATTTGCAGTGATCTGAGATTGTGCTACTACACTCCAGCCTGGGGGATAGAGCGAGACTCCGTCTCAAAAAAAAAAGGAAAATAATAATAAAATTATATTTTACAACTGCATTGGTATAAAGACAAGTATAATCCATACTGGATTAAAATTAATTTTAAAAACAAAACATTTTAGGGCTGGCTCATGTCTGTCTGTAATCCCAGAGCTTTGGGAGGCTGAGGCAGGAGGACTGCTTGAGACCAGGAGTTTGAGACTAGCCTGTGCAACATAGTGAGACCCTATCTCTCCAAAAAAAAAAAAAAGAAAAAACTAACTGGACATTTTAGCATAGCTGTAGTTCCAGCTACTTGAGAAGCTGAGGTGGGAGGATTCCTTGAGCCCAGGAGTTCGAGGCTGCCATGAGCTATGATCATGCCACTATTCCAGTCTGGGTGACAGAGTTAGACACTGTTTCCAAAAAAAAAAAAAAAAAATTAATTAAAATAAGTTTTTAAAAATTGCAACATTTTCTTCAACCCTGAATGTTCAGTTTTTTTCTTCTGATTTTCATGGAAATGGAAACATTTTTGTTTGTAAGCATTCGGAGCCCTCCGTTTTGTGGGAGAAAGGAGCTCAGTGTTTGACTTCAGGCTCTGCTGCTTCCTGGGTACCTAGTTCCTTGGTCCAAGCAGCCTGGATGCCCCGGGTCCCTGGGCTGCCTGGGCCAGGACAGCCACCCCAGGAGAAATGGAAATGCAGCCCCTGCGGCTTGTTGGCCCGCCTGTAATGCCTTCTCTCTCACACTTTGCTCAGGGCCTGGTGTCTTTGCATGCGCCAGGGCTTAGTGCCATGCTGGTGCCGGCGTGGGGAGGATGCAGGAGGAGTGGCATGGGACGGGGAGCACTGCCTGGGAATCCCCTTCCTGGGGCTACTGGGGTGCTGAGAAAGTACCCTAATAACTCACACCACACTTTGCTTTCTCCTTCATCACATGATAGGATGTTCTAGGGCAATTGAGCTGTTTTCCCCTTCACCCATCAAGAAGAGATATCGGCCTTTCCCCAGTCACAATCTTTCCTAACTCAATTCAGACCCTGCTGTTGATAAGGAGGGCTGTGGCCAGCCCAGGCTACCCACTTCCCAGCCTCCCCTGCTCCGCCTTCCGCCCCCGAGGCTGTGCACCATGTGCAGTGTCTGGTCCCCAATAATGAGATTAGTCCTGGTCGCCTTTTAATAAAAAGCAGTGGGTGTGGGGAGGGTTGGCTCAGTGAAGCTTTGCGGGCCATGCTGTCCTTAATGCGCTTATTCCATTAAGTGGAGTCTGGCTGCAGGTGGGGTGAGTGGGTGGGGACAAGGGTGACTCTCACAGCTCTAAGCTCCAGAAACTGCCATAGATCTGTCACTCTCATCCTGAGCTCTCACAGAGGAAGGCAAGTGACTGTGTGAGGGGCTACATGAGCCCCCTCTGGTTGCAGGGTTCTGGTCTGCAGGGCAGCGGAGCCCTTTGGGGTGGAGAGTGGCAACTTTCAGGCCTTGAAGCTGCTGCCCACAGTTCTGCTCTGAGAACACAGAGGGCCCAAGAACAGCCGGTGTCCCAGGGCTGCCCAGTGAGGAGGGAAGGGTGAGAGTATTCTTGCTGTCAAGACTGGGAAATGAGGGCCACGATTCAAAGGCTTGCTTCCTAGGGAGTAAATCTCACCCGATGTCCAGGTGTGCAAATGCAGCAGACACATTTGTGGGTGGGTCACATTCTGTCCAGATATATCAGAATGTCTATCCCTGTACGCCCCCACCTCTGGCATGGGACACAGCCCTTCCCTGCACACAAATGGGTTGTCAATTACGTCCAATGAATGGCCTCGCGAGAGCCCTGTTGGGGAAGGGATTATCTGCTCATCTCCTGTAAAGCACAGAGCCACACTCAGAACCTACGGACTGCAATCGCCTGCAGGCCAGCCACAGGCTTTCCTGTCATCCTCACACTTAGACTTTGAAGCCTCGCCTTTGAATCGGAAGCAGGCCGCTGTCATTCCAGAGGCCCCTGTTCATCTCTGGCTTCCTTCCAGATGACCAGGGGCCCCGGGTCCCTGGGCTGCCTGGGCCAGGACAGCCGCCTTAGGAGCAAATGGAAATGCAGCTTCCGTGGCTTGTTTGCCCTCCTGTAACCCCTTCCCTCTCACCTTCGGTCAGGGCCTGCTGTCTTGCACGCAGCAGTGCTTACTGCCATGGTGAAACCGAGGCAGGGAGGACGCAGGAGGACCGGCACAGGAGGGGGGGCACCGCCCCGGGAGCTTCCCCTGTGTCAAAGCAGCTTCCTCAGTGAGCTCCAACACAGATCCTTGCTGACTTCAGCCTGGAAAGCCTGACAGTGCCACCCTAGTTCCTGGGCCTTGAAAAGGCCAAAGCCACGAGCAGGCAGCCACTGTTCCACAAGACAGCTAGAGATGCTGTTGCCCACAGACATCACAGCAGGGGTGCCATCTTCCGTGTGCACATTGGCACAGGTCTTGGAGGCCCAGATTAGCTCCTGGCTTGAACTTATATCACCCTTACCTGAAAATCTGCGTCTGCACCGCTCATCTGCACGCCCCTTGAGGGCAGGGACCAGGCCCCCTCTGTGTGGCCCTAGAGTGCAGGTGCATGCAGGTCGAGTTGAGCTGCTATTTGCTAATGGGAATTTGGGGGCATGTGGCTTGTCCTCGTTGAGCCTCCATTTCCTGGCCTGTCAAACTGGGGCAATGCTCCTGTTATCCACACAGTGTCATTTAGGGGTGACATGAGAGATGGCGTGAAGTACCCAGCACAGGGCAGGTGCTTACAGGCTGTGGGGTCCCCACCCTACTGACACACCAAGCACACGTCTGCCCTGCCATGGTGGGGAGCAAACAACTTTAGGGTTCCGACTCCCCGGGAGGCCAGGCCGGGCATTTCACTGTAGGATGCTGAAGCCGCAGGCAGTCATCGCTGCGAGAAGAGAGCCTGGCTCTGAGGTCCGCTGTCTCCTGGGCAGCCTGGTGGGAAGGAAGGAGTTGGCAGTGGCCCCTCACTCTGCCAGCCTCTCCTGCCCTTTGTACTCCATGAGGCGTGAGGAAGTTGCCAGGTCTCCCAGCAGAGGGAGGGGTGATGTCCCCTCTGTTCTTCCTAATTTGTTGCTAATCAGATTCTGCTTGCAGCCGGGCTCTCTGGGGATGAATCTAATAAAGGAGGCGGCAACCTGGAGAGGACAGACGACAAGTGACCGGGGGGGACAGCACTTCTTTTAGTACATTTTCCTGTTAGACTCAGAGTATTAGAGACCCAAGGATTCCCAAGGAGGAGCGAGAGCGTCCCTGCCTTTGAGGAGCAGACAGGACACTGCCAGGGTAAGGAGGCTCCGGAAGAGGCTGGGGACAAAGTGATCTGCCCACCGTGGTGTCTGGGGAGTGGAGGCAGGGGTGTGGGGTCCGCAGCAGCAAGCCAGGCTAGACCGTGTCCTTGGATTCTGTGAGCCCAGGTGTCTCCTCTAGAGGGCCTAGTAGGAACAGTGGGGGCTGCAGATGGAAACGGGCAGGATCATGCCAGGCAGCTGGCATTTCACTGGCACTCGGGGCCTCTTGCGCAGGGGACAGCATGACCTTGGGAGCTGGCTTTGTCCCTGGCGCATCTGTCACGTCGAAGAGGGAGAAGCTGCAGGCCCTGACTTGGGTGTGGCAGTGAGGATGTTCAGGAGGGAAGTGAGGGGAGGGGCCCCAGCATGCGGCGACGTGGGCAGCCTTCTGTGGAGGAGCTGAGGTGTCACCAGGGCCTGGAAGAAGGGCAGCCCCACTAGCTAGTGGGGAGGGCATGAGAGAACTTGGTGACGACAGGAGAGGAGGTGACTTGGAATGAGCTGAGTTTGAAGCATCTGTGGGATGTCCAGGTGGAGATGAATAGTGAACTGTCAGAAATGGGGCTTGAATTTGCGGTGGTGGGGACAGAACTGATACCCCTGTAGGTGACAGATAAAGACAGAGGCAGGAGTTCCAAAAATAGGATTTATTGTTGGCTGGGGCTTCTGGAATCCTGTATTCCCATCCACCCTGGGAATGTGGACTACGGCTGTGTTTCTGGGAGATGATGTGACGGAATGTGTCAGAAATCTAAAACAGAACCTAGCCCTTGTTTCAGGATTCCCTGCAGAGAAGTTTGCAAACATGGCCACATCCTGTTGTTTATTTGGTGGAAAACTGAAAGCTAGCTAAATGCTGAGCAATGGGAACTAGTTGGCTAAAAAATGGCCGTGCAATGCAAGAGTGTGAGGTTACGAAAACGATGATGTGGGCGCATATCCATTGACACAAACATCCATGTGTGCTACGCCCTTAGTTAAAAAGCAGGTTAGAACATGGCACGATCCTGCTTCTATAAAAGGATTCATACATGTTTTTTAGGAAGAAGTTGTGTGAGGATATAGATCAAGTGCTGATGGCCTGTCATTTTACCTTTTTTGCTGATCCATATTCTGTGGTGTGTGTGGATTATTAACACACACACATCCTTTTTTTAATCAAGAAAAAAAATTTTTTTTGAGACAGAGTCTCATTATATCACCCAGGCTGGAATGCAGTGGCGCAATCTTGGCCCACTGCAAACTCTGCCTCCCCGGCTCAAGGGATTCTAGTGCCTCAGCCTCCCGAGTAGCTGAGATTACAGGTGTGAGCCACCATGCCCGGCTAATTTTTGTAGTTTTAGTAGAGATGGGGTTTCACCATGTTGTGGCTGGTCTTGAACTCCTGGCCTCAGGTGATCCACTTGCCTTGGCCTCCCCAGGTGCTGATTATAGGTATGAGCCACTGCGCCCGGCCCACACACCCCCTCGGCCCTTTAATGGTGGAGTTGCCAACAGTTGTCTGATGTAGTGAGAGAACTGGAGAGCAGAGAAGGAGCCCATCCCTGGGAGGGACTGAAAACCAGCTCCTGGGCACTGCAGGGCAGGGCTGGCCACTGTCCCCCTAGTTCTGATACAGTTGCTGCCAGGAGAGGCTGGACTGTGTCGAGGGGTCAGTGGGGAACCGTCTGGGGCGGGTGGGGGGCAGCAGCAGTGCTCTGGGGTCTGCTTGTGGTGGCCATGGTGGTGGCAGTTGCAGTGGCAACTGTGGGCCATGGCAGCACTTTTCCGTGGTGCATAGGCCGCTGTCAGGTGAAGGGAGAGCAGGTGAGGCCATGCTTGTTCTCCTGCCGCCTCTCCTCCCATCCCCAGCTGCTGGGTGCTCTTCTGCCTGGCACGAGGCTGTGCAGGCACTGGGCACTCCCTTGGGCTCCTAGCAGGGCCTTCTCATTCCTGTTTCCCTAGGAACCACCCGCTCTCCTTTCCTCCTGGAGGGTCACGTGGGGCCGAGCACCTGGGACAGCCGTGCTGCGCTCTACCCAGCCCCCTCATAGGCCTTGTTTCTGGGGGCCTTCAGTTTTGGAAACCTCACCTGAGGGCCCCTCTAGATTGTGGGTCCTCCCCGCCCCCTGCTTGGAGGGGAAGCGCCCTTTCCCTGTGTGCTGACAGGTGCCTGTGTGTAGCACAGTCAGAGCACTTCTATTCTGCAGGCGCGATGGGGGGGGGAGGGGGGGTTGGGGGAGTGGGGCTGGCTCTCCTGGGTGTGGGGTGGGGAAGCCTCCTCATCGCCAGCTTGGAGTTAAAAACCGGGCTAGGGGAGGGAGACTTCCCATTTCTCCCCAGATGTATTTCATGATGCGTCTGGAGAAAAGGTGTGACCAGTCCCTTCCTTCCCTTCAAGGAGCGCGCTCGCCTGTGTAACTCACCTGTAAAGCCCACCCAGGGAAGGCCAGGGCCTCATGAAACAGAAAAGAAAGCCAGGCACTGGGCCCTTGCGCTCACTAGAACTTGGGGTGTCTTTCCTTGCCCCTTCACCGCATATGGAACTCCTGGTGTCATGTCCCAGATCACGCCTATCCCTGTGGGGAGGCTGGGCCCCCCCTCAGCCACTCCTGAGACTTGGGACCTCTGCCCGTGGACGATGGGTGGGAAGGAGCTTGGGGGTGGGAGAGCGAGGGCTGCTTCCAGCAGGAGCCTGGGGTGAGGGTGGCGGGGCACCATGGGGGTAGCTGCGCCGCATCTCAGGGCGGTGTAGTGCACATCTTGCAAGGTGACATGTGCATCTCAGGGGGGCTGCTCGCATCAGGGTGCCGTGTGCATCTCCGGGGGGCTGCATGCCTCTAGGGGGACTTGCGCATCTCGGGGTGCTGTGCACATCTAGCGGGGGTGGCTGTGCGCATCTGGAGGGGGCTGTGCGCAACCTGGGGGGGCTGTTGCGCGCAGCTAGCTGGGGTGGCTGTGTGCATTTCTGGGGGGGCTGTGTGCATTTCAGGGTGGCTGTAGGTATCTGGGGGGACCGTGCTCATCTCCAGGGGCGGCTGTGCGCATCTCGTGGGGGGGAGCTGTGCGCATCTTGGGGGTGTGCACATCTCGGGGGGCCTGTGCGCATCTTGGGGGCTGTGCACATCTGCGGGGGCTGTGTGCATCTCAAGGGCTCTGTGCACATCTCGTGGTGCTGTGTGCTGCCCCTCTGAGCTTTGCTCTTTCTTGCAGCGTTTGCCTCAGCATGGAGGGCGGGGCCGCGGCATCCACCCCCGCAGCGCTGCCTTACTACGTGGCCTTCTCCCAGCTGCTGGGCCTGACCTTGGTGGCCATGACTGGCGCTTGGCTCGGGCTGTACCGAGGCGGCATTGCCTGGGAGAGCGACCTGCAGTTCAACGCGCACCCTCTCTGCATGGTCATAGGCCTGGTCTTCCTGCAGGGAGATGGTGAGTCCCGTGGGCCGCTCCTCTCGGCCCGGGCTTGTGGGGGTCCCTGAGAGGCAGTGTGCAGGGGTCTTGTCACCCCTGCGGTCTCTTCTGGTTGGACAAATCTAAGATTCTAGAAAAGACAGACAGAAGCTGGTTCAGAGCCTGGGGAGATGGAATCCAAACCCAGGCTCTGAGGTTGGTGGGTGCAGCTCCTCTCCAGCCTGGCCCAGCATTTTCACCTCGTTTCCACACACAGCGTCCAAGGCAGGCACTTCATGCCGCAGAGGGGAAGGAATGGGGCTCCGAACCAGGCCCTGCTGCAGGGGTGGTTTGAATTGAGGGAAAAAAAGTAGGCACATGTGAGAGTTTGTATGCGTGTGTGCGCACGCGCGTATGTGTTGTTGGTCTTGGACTTGGCAGAGCTAGAGGCCTCCCCCTGGGGCAGGAGCAAGGCAGTGCTTGGCCTCCACCTGCCTCCAGGCCAGGTATCCTGGAAGCCGAATCTGCATCTGGTTGACCGGCTCTTCCTAGAGGTGGTCGTGGTGACAGCCACCCCTGAGCAGCAGAAAGCTAAGAGGCATTCCTCACGTGACCTGGCCTTGCCCACCTCTTCTGGAAGTGGGAGATCAGGCTGGGATCACAAGGTTCTGCTTGGGAGCCAGAGTGGGATGATCTGCCCAGGCTTAGGTGGGGGCCTGTGTGAGGAGCCACGTGGCTAACAGGTCAACTCAGGCTGCTTGTTGCCTCAGTGTGACCAACAGTGGACCTCAAACACAGCCTGGAATTTGCAGGACACCTGACAAGAAGGTGGGTGGGGTGGGGTGTCTGCTGGGCCGGGCAGCTCCTTTAGGTGGGGACGAGGGCAGAGGCGCTGCCTTCACTGCCTCTCCTGGTGGTGGGGACTGTGGTACAGTCTCCCGCCCTGCCCTCTTTGAGTGTGCACAGTTGGGGGAGGTTGGAGGGTGGGGGAGGGGTGTTAAGGTGCACACAGCCTTAGGTGCCCTCAGAGAAGGCCAGGAGCTGCCCAGGGTCCCCAGGGAACCTGGCTTTCTCCTCCGGTTCCTGCAGCTAGGCTCCTGCTGCAAGCTGTCAGCTCACATCACCTCGCCACCAAGGTGCCTCCTTGCTGCGGGGGCAGGAGGCCTCACTGCAGGCGGATGCACTCACGTTCCCTCTCTCACCTCTCACAGCCCTACTGGTTTACCGTGTCTTCAGAAATGAAGCCAAACGCACCACCAAGGTCCTGCATGGGCTGTTGCACGTCTTTGCGCTTGTCATCGCCCTGGTTGGTGAGTTCCTGGGCCCAGCCTTCCCCGCCCCCTGCCTGTCTCTTCAGGTATGGCAAACAGCTGCTTTACCTGCTCTGTTCCCTCCCCAGAGCCGTGATGGGCCCGCCCCCATCCCAAACATCCCCTGCAGGGCCACTGGGTGCTGGCAGCCATTGAACTGGTACTAAAGCCCAGAAGTCCCTGCTAGCTGGTTCCTTGGGTCGTCTTATCCCTTCCTTTTCCACGTCCAACCCTGTCCTCACATGACCTATCTCTGGCCCAGGCTTGGTCGCGGTGTTCGACTACCACAGGAAGAAGGGCTACGCTGACCTGTACAGCCTGCACAGCTGGTGCGGGATCCTTGTCTTTGTCCTGTACTTTGTGCAGGTGAGTCCTTCCAGCACCCAGGGCCTGTGGCCGCCTACCAGGGAGATGGGAGGGGCAGGGGAGCTGGGCTGAAACGTGCTTCATGGAAGGGCCTGTTTTCTGGGGTGCGTGCAGGTGAGAGAGCTGTCTTCCCAGGCCTGTGTGGGTGCAAAGCTAGGATTGGCGGCCAAGGGTGCCCAGCTCCCAGGCGCCCCATGGCTGACTCAGCGTGTTTGGCCACAAGCCCAGCTTTCCAAATCTGCGAGTATGCCAAGGCCTCAAGTGCTGGGGGACGGGTCCCTTGTCCCTAAGCACTTAGTACTCCTCCCACCACCATGCTGAAGAGGGAGGAAACCAGGCAGGGCTGAGGGGCTCGCAGTCGCCATGTGGGCGCGTGGGCGTGGGCCTGGGCTGACCTCGGCTGCTGGGGTTGCCGGCTGCCCTGTCCCAGAACCACCTTCTTTCCTCCTAGTGGCTGGTGGGCTTTGGCTTCTTCCTGTTCCCCGGAGCTCCGTTCTCCCTGCGGAGCCGCTACCGCCCACAGCACATCTTCTTTGGTGCCACCATCTTTCTGCTTTCCGTGGGCACCGCCCTGCTGGGCCTGAAGGAGGCACTGCTGTTCAACCTCGGGTGAGTGTCCTGGGTGGGAGGGGGCAGGCCTGGGCCACCCCTGCACAGACCTCACCCTGCCCTCGGCTTCCCCAGCTGTGGCTTCCTGAGCCGTCTCTTGTGGCCTCACAACTGGTGGCTGTAGTTATGCTTGCTAAGAATTGGGTGCATGGGGCTTGGCTTTGGTTAGCTTTCTTGATTTTATCCTTTCCAAGAAACTTCTGGGCTATGGGCCCCCTATTTATTCCCATCACGTAGCAGGATCTGCAGGAGAACTGCTTAGAACTAGAGTATTGATACAGATTTTTACATTAGAGATTGCTGGTTTTACATTAGAGATTGCTGGTTGGGGGTGGGGGGTGGTCGTTCTCTTTGGGTAGGGTAGGGAGGCAGGGGCTGGTGCTGGAATCCCTATGACATCTTTAAGGCCCAGTATACGGGCATTTGGCCTGTGACCTCTTGGGCAGCTTCTCCCTTCCTCTCACCCCTGCAGGGACAAGTACAGTACATTTGAGCCTGAGGGCGTCCTGGCCAATGTGCTGGGCCTGCTGCTGGCCTGCTTCAGTGGGGTGGTGCTCTATATCTTGACCCGGGCTGACTGGAAGCGGCCTTCCCAGGCCGAAGAGCAGGCCCTCTCCATGGACTTCAAGACGCTGACGGAGGGAGACAGCCCCGGCTCCCAGTGATGCACTGGGCCAGCCCTGGGGGTTCACGGGCTGTCTTCTTGCCCACTCCTGCTAAGGCATCTTCAGGATTGCAGGCTCTGGAGAGTGGCTCTGGCAGCAGGCGGGTGGGTGGGCGCAGCTGCATCTGTTGGAGTGCTGCTTTCTGGGGTCAGGTCTCTGCCTCCTCTGCTTCTCCTTTCTCTGCTGCTATAGACCAGTTCATTGTATGTAGCTCCCGTGTCTCTGTTTCCCCCTTCAGTGCAGAAGGCTTTGGATAGGACTTCGGGTGGTCAGTCCTGGTCACAGAGCACAGGTCTTTAAAGAAGCGAGACAGGAAGACCCACCCTCCCGGCAGCAGATGCCTGGGGCAAGGCCAGGGGAAACTGGGGGGGCCTCAGGGACAGGCCTGGAAAGGCCATGATGGCTGCTGAATTCAAACAAGGAGTCCCTCCAGCCCAAATAACACGTGGCACAAATGGGCCCAGCCTTTGGCAGAGGAGCAAGTGATATGATGTGTAAAGTATGTTGGTGGTGAGAGCAAGGTTCCCCAGGAGAGGGGAGGGACTGGCCCCTGGGAAGCTCTGAGTGAGGCTGTGGCCCAGCTGTAGTCCTGACCTTCCTCTTCTTTAACCCTCTAGCCCTAGGACGGCTTTGGTGGAGAGGGGAGAGAAGCCCAGGACTTCAGACAGCCTTTCTCCTGGCGGATGGAGGCAGGCCTTCTCCCAGGCTGCTCCAGACGTGGGAGTTGGGAATCGGGGGCACCTGGCAGCCCCTTCCTGCTGGGGCTCCCTCCTTGCAGCACCCCCCTTGCAGCTCAGCTCTGGTTTCCTTTCCCAGGCTCACCCAGGCTCTGCTCAGGCTGGGAGGCAGAGAGCACAAACCGTAGAATTTTTTAAATGAAAAACCGCTGCTTCTGGCTGTGGCTGGGGCCCCTGGGGCTGCTGGAGCTGCTGCCTCTGTTCTGGAGGACGAGGCTTCTCCTTCTTCCCTGGTGCCCGTCTCTCCAGGAAGTCAGGACTGAGGCAGAACCAGGTCATCCCCTGTGGCGTCTGCACATCACTGCAGCCGTATAGAGTGTCATGTTAGCTGAGCCACCATTTGGCTTTGGCCCGGAAATAGTGTGAGTAAAACATTGATCAAGACCATCCTGACGAACACAGTGAAACCCCATCTCTACTAAAAATGCAAAAAATTAGTTGGGCATGGTGACGGGCGCCTGTAGTCCCAGCTACTTGGGAGGCTGAGGCAGGAGAAGGGCGTGAAGCCGGGAAGTGGAACTTGCAGTGAGCCGAGATCATACCATTGCACTCCAGCGTGGGCGACAGGCTCAAAAAAAAAAAAAAAAAAGAACATAAGAACATTGATCATGTGCTTCTTGGATCTGGTGACTTGGTGACTGTTCTCTCCCTGTTTTCCTTGTTTTTGGGGGTTTGAGGAGCATGACTTAGCTTGAGACAGACACAGTGTACTTCAGTGAAGAACTTAATACAATTTCCAAACCTGATGACCTTAGAGAAAGGGGCCAGTGTTCTCTAATGCTTGCATTTCCGGTAGTTGGCTTTTGCTGTGGCTCCTGCCTCAGGCAATGTCATTTCTGAGAGCAGGTGGTTGTAGTCCAGGCCCCTCCCCAGCAGGGGCTGCCCAGGCTCCTTCCAGCCCCTTTCCCCACCTCCTCTCAGCCTGCCCGGATGACAGTGTTCGCCTCCTGTTTAGACTGTACACTCTTCAGGGGCAGGGGCACCGTCAGTTCTTTCATGAGCTGGCACGCACATGTATAGTGAAATGTTTACGTTTGGGAAGACTCCGCCTTAGACAAACTACGAAAGTACAATCGTGTCTCTCCCTAGTCAGAATGCTACAGAGAGAAATGGAACCTTAGATTAGCAACAAAAGTCTGTAAACTGGTCTGTTTGCCAAAGTGAACACTGGATGACTAAGGAACCGAAGAAGGCCCCCAGAAGCAGATTTGTGGTGGGTTATTTTATTTTGCCTGTGGCCAATCTTCTGTGAAATACAATGTGCTGTTGGTGCAACAGATGATTCAATAAATGTCTACAGCAGACCTCTCGCCTGTTATTTTCCTTTAATGTGGTAATAAAAGGAGCCAGAGCTTTTAGCAGCCAGAAACATGACGTTAGCTCTAGGCCTGAGAGAAACTGGATATCCGCAGGCTGGGCACAGAAGGTAAAGTGATTAGTGATATTGATCATGGCCTAGGGTCTGAAAAGGCCCAGTGGTTGTCCAGTCTCCTCCTGGCAGAGGCAGTGTTTCTATGTAGTTAGATAAACCCTTGCTCTCAGCCTGAGAGGGTGGCCTGGAGGGCGGAGCTGCAAAAGCTTGGTAAGAGCCTTGGCAAGGAGAATCTCCCAGTGTTTAATGGACCCCTTTCCCTTTGAAACCAGTCTTTTTGATCCTTAGGAAGAGGAACAAAGATTTTGGAACAAGCTGAGATTCCACTTTAGATCCACGTACGTGGCTCAGGCAGAAGGTGTGTTTTTGGCAAATTTGGATGGGACTGCACTGTGTGCTTTGTGCCTTGCCACTTAAAGCAGTGGTCCCAACCTTTTTGGCAGCAGGAACAGGTTTTGTGGAGGACAATTTTTCCACAGACCAGGGCTGGGGGCAGGGGATAGTTTTGGGATAATTCAAGCACATTACATTTATTGTGCATTTTATGTTATTACATTGTAATATATAATGAAATAATTATAGGGAGCCCTGAGCTTGTTTTCCTGCAACTGGACAGTCTCATCTGGGGGTGATAGGAGACAGCGACAGATCAGGCATTCAATTCTCCTGAGGAGCAGGCAGCTGGATCCCTGGCATGTGCAGTTCACAATAGGGTTTGCACTCCTATGAGAATCTAATGCTGCAGCTGATTTGACAGGAGGTGGAGCTCAGGTGGTCATGCTTACCCGCCGCTGCTCACCTCCTACTGTGCAGCCAGGTTCTAACAGGCCATGGACCCATACCGCTCTGTGGCCCTGGGGCTGGGGACCCCTGACTTACACCAATTTAAAAACTCACCAGAACTCACTATTTAAAGGGAGCCAACAGCAAATCCTCTAATAAGGTAACGGGAGTCCCTGCTTCCCCGCATTGGTCTCAACTTTGTCTTCTGCATTATAGCTGGTCTCTAACGTGTAGGAGTTAGAGCGGAGAGGTCTTTCCTTAGGGCACCTGTAGAGTCCCTCCTGAATGAAGGCTTCCCTGTGGACCTTTATTTTTATTATTATTATTTTTTGAGACGGAGTTTTGCTCTTGTTGCCCAGGCTGGAGTGTAATGGCACGATCTCAGCTCACTGCAACCTCCGCCTCCCGGGTTCAAGCGATTCTCCTGCCTCAGCCTCCCAAGTAGCTGGGATTACAGGCATGCGCCACCACGCCCAGCTAATTTTTGTATTTTTAGTAGAGACGGGGTTTCTCCATGTTGGTCAGGCTGGTCTCGAACTCCCAACCTCAGGTGATCCACCTGCCTCGGCCTCCCAAAGTGCTGGGATTACGGGTGTGAGCCACCATGCCCAGCTGAGTGTGGACCTTTATTTACTGAAAAGCATTCAAAGCACATGCTTGATACGTGTCACAAGCTGGTTCCTCAGTCAGCATCTCATTTCTGTCTTTTTTTTTTTTTTTTTTTTGCATCAGCCTCTGAATCTTATGGGTCTCTGTGAATGTTGAAGTGATCCCAGGCACTGGGGGATGATGCCTCCCTCTCCAGAGAGCCACTTCACCTCTTCCTCTATGAATCTCCAGCTGGATAACAGCAGGGACCTCACTTTCTTACTGGGTTTGGGAACCTGAGAGGTCCCAAAGCGACTCCTTGACTGGCATAGAGTTATTTCTCCAAACAAGCACATGGCACTTCCCAAGCCATCCTCCCAGACCCAGCGCCTGCGCTCCGTGGGGCGTCATTCGGGTTGCTTGCTCTTTTCAGACCATCCCATCTGAGAGAGGAGGCGGCGTGGTGGAGGGAAGAACTGTCAGTGCGGCTCTGATTCAGACGCCTACCTTTGCCTCTGTGACCCTCAGCAACTTCAAACTTGCAGGATCTGCTTCCGCATTTGTTTTGGAGACAGCAATGTCGTCTGTCAAGGTGTGAGGAATACATTAGGGAACATATGTGAAGTCCCTATCACAGTGTCTGGGACACAATGGACCTCCCAAGAGGACGGCCTGTTAGAATGGACTCTGAGAACCTTCTCTTCTAAGCGGGCCCTCTCTTTATCGCAGGGCCTTCCAGACATGATACCCGTTATCAATGCCCCATCTTATTCCTGAGAATGGAATAACTCAGGTGCCAAGACTCCAAGCTCCTCCAGCTTGTTTTTAAAGCTGAGAGAGGGTGACTCCATTCCCCGCTGGTTTGTCTACCCATTCCCAGACGACCGCAGGGGAGTTTGGCCACCACATGCATGTGCGTACTGTGTCTGCCTGCAGTCATGAGGTCAACCCATGAGCAGATGACCAGGGGAAGAAAGTCTCACCTGGTGCTGCGATCTACACAGACTTCTGCTGAGTTTGCTGTTTGCTTCTACTCTGAGTAGCTTTTTATTAAGGTTGAGGGTAAATTCTTTTTAAGAAGTATTAACAGTTTTTTAAAATGAATCATTCCCTTTTACCTTTCCTCCAATGTCCCAGGACTTCTTAAAAAAGCTGGGGGTTTGGCCAGGTGTGGTGGCTCATGCCTGTAATCCCAGCACTTTGGGAGGCCAAGGCGGGAGGACAGCTTGAGGCCAGGAGTTCAAGACCAGCCTGGGCAACATAGCAAGACTCCATCTCTGCAAAACAAAACAAAAGTTAGCAGGGCGTGGTGGCACGCACTGTGGTCCCAGGTACTTGGGAGGCTGCGGTGGGAGGATCACTTGAGCTCAGGAGATCGAGGCTGCAGTGAGCTATGATCACACCACTGTACTCCAGCCTGGGTAACAGAGTGAGACTCCATCTAAAAACAAAACAAAACAAAACAAAACATCTAGGTTGGGCGCAGTGGCTTATGCCTGTAATCCCAGCACTTTGGGAGGCTGAGGTGGGTGGATCACTTGAGATCAGGAGTTTGAGACCAGCCTTGGCAACATGGCGAAACCCCATCTCTACTGAAAATACAAAAATTAGGCCGGGTGCGGTGGCTCACGCCTGTAATCCCTGCACTTTGGGAGGCCGAGGCGGGCAGATCGCGAGGTCAGGAGATTGAGACCATCCTGGCTAACATGGTGAAACCCCGTCTCTACTAAAAATATAAAAAAACTAGCCAGGAGAGGTGGCGGGCACCTGTAGTCCCAGCTACTCGGGAGGCTGAGGCAGGAGAATGGTGTGAACCTGGGAGGCAGAGCTTGCAGTGAGCTGAGATTGCGCCACTGCACTCCAGCCCGGGCGACAGAGCGAGACTCCGTCTCAAAAAAAAAAAAAAAAAACCACACAAAAAACACACAAATTAGCTGGGCATGGTGGCGGGTGCCTGTAATTCCAGCTACTAGGGAGGCTGAGGCAGGAAAATCGTTTGAACCTGGGAGGCGGAGGTTGCAGTGAGCCGAGATCACGCCATTGCACTCCAGCCTGGGTGACAGAGTGAGACTCTGTCTCAAAAAAAAAAAAAAAAAAAAGGAAAAAAATATATAAAATATAAATTAAAAAGCTGGGGTTTTGCCAATGACTTATCTTTTATTTATTTTTATTTTTCTTTTCTACACTACAGGTGCCCGCCACCACACCCGGTTAATTTTTTGTATTTTGTTTAGTAGAGACGGGGTTTCACTGTGTTAGCCAGGATGGTCTCGATCTCCTGACCTGGTGATCCGCTTGCCTCGGCCTCCCGAAGTGCTAGGATTACCGGTGTGAGCCACCGCGCCTGGCCCTGACTTATCCATTTTTTAATGAAATAACGAGAGCAGCCCAGGAATGGTTTTGAGATTGAGCAGGTGGTTGCTGCCCGAGTCCCCTCTTCTCTTTGAAGGCAATTATGGCGTCCAGGCTGGGCTGTGTGGGGCCTGGAGTTTGTCTGCTTCCCCAGGCTTTGGGAAATGCAGGTACACACAGCAGGAATGTTTGTTTAGCACAAATCTGATGTCTAGAGGAAGTGGTCTTCCTCCTCGCTTGTCCCTGAAGTAAACACAGAGGTCGCAGTTAAACAGGAAAGGCTGCAGGCTCAGTGCTGCTCCCTGTGACCCCCGCTCCCTTTCAGAAGGTATTGAGTCTCCAGCCAGTTGCAGGAAACCGGCTACTTTTCAATTCACAATGCAGCTGCCTAGCTCTCTATGGTGAGGACTGGAGTTTGACCAGATTTCTGATGAAAAGACAAAGCCCCTGGAAGCAGTGGGCCTCCAGTTGTGACGAAGCCCTCGGGTCTGCAGTGGGAGCTGTGCCCTCCGCTCGCCACCCTCTCAGCATGCAGCCTCTAAATGCAGCCACTCAGGCTGGCAGCCCACCTCAGCCTTGGCTTTGGTAGGGTGGCTGGGTTGGGTGCAGCTTCAGCTACAAAATGAAATGAGAGCTCAGTGCTCCCTTGGTATAGCTGGAGAAAAACCTCTTCCAATGAAGAAAAAGCCTCCCTTTCTTGACAAATGTCACAGGCCTGTGCTGACAGCTCCTTAGAATGGCGTCTCTTGTTGTCCACAGCTCTCTCCAGGGCCTATCACAGTGTCCAACTCTGAGGACAGGAGGTGCTCAATAACGTGGCCAAGCGAATAAATGCACAAACGGGTGGCTCTGAATGTCCCACAAGAGACCAAGCAAATCATCGGGAATTTGGCCTTAGCCCTAACCTGCCCAATGCCTCCTGGGGAAGGGCGCCCCCATCACTGCATCCTCAGGAGGGTAAGCTTCAAAGCCAGCTCCCTGAAGAGGCTGTAACGGAAGGAGAAAAGCATCACAACACCGTGGTTTTCCAAGTGTTAGCCATTTATAAATAAGTACATTTGCTTTCATACATACAGTTCATTGTACAGATGACAATCTGTATACATGGGGCAGGAAAATGCATTCATTTGAACTTTTCACATCTATCTCACACAGCTCACATGTACAGACAATAAAACTGCTCAAGCAAGTACAGCAAAGGAAAATGTC